CTCCCTTCACACGGAAAGGCCCACAAAGGTCCATTGACAGAACGTAGCAAGAAGGAGCCAGGACTCTTCTGTGTGCCCTTCCCGTCGCACAAGACTCTATACAAGTGCGGCAGCGCCGCTCAAAGGGCAAATGCCCATTCTTCACGTGACGAATCCAACGCCGTCGTTCTGGTTCCTTCATTTGGTCGAAGGTCGCGTCCATCTTCTTTATGGCCCATCCATTGGGGAACTTCCACCAATTGTAGATGCCGTTGACAATCTCGTTGTAGAGGGAGGGTGGCCATCTCAAGTCCCGCTCAAGCTTGGTTCCACCTTCTTTCCTCTTTTGTGGATCTCTTTCTAGGTCCAAGTTCGTAGCAACCAAGAAAACCTCATTGGTCTCAGTGGCCATGAAATCCACCAACGGTACATCATACTCACTTTGAAACTTCTTCCACGACTCCGACTTCCAGTAGGCTTCCAAGGAGTTGCCGCCCATCGCGATGTAGGGTGTAGGGATGCCGTAGAGAGTCGCCGCCTTTCGAGCCGCAACCCAGAGCCACATCATCTTGAGCCTCAGCTCTTCCGTGGAGTTTGTGGGAATGGCTCCAAAAACTCCCTCAAGTTGACCCCGTAGAGCACCCCACATCAGTGCCCGATAGGCCACACTCTCACCCTTCATGCTGAACAGCTTGCTCTTAGCCACATTGATGTCCACGAACACCGTGTCGTTGGAGTTTAGCACCTTCAGATCCGCTTCATGTTCTCCGGCAAAACACCTCACTGTCCACCTCTTTTCCATCATAGCCCGCCTTGTTGATCTCCTTATCGGGAGGGCCTTGAGATACTTCCATCCACTCTTGTTGTCCAGGTTCACCGTGGGCGCAAGGAAGTCTAGCAGTTCTTCAGGTAGGTCTCCAAGTGGTGAACCCTTCTGGATCAAGGCCTCCAGAGCATGCCCACGTTCTCCCGTGTGAACATATCTTGCCAGCGAGTAGTCCCAAGACACCGCCTCTTGGGAGTCCAGAAGGCGGACCGTAGTATCCAAGGTGTTGCTCTCCAGTTCACGCAGCTTCAGGTCTTCTAACTGCGCAATGATCTCCAGCGCCTGCAACTCTCCCAACATAGGATGGTTCCCTTTCACAAAGGTCTTCAGCTCCCCGAATTGGGGATGGTAAACTCTAAGTCCGCCTTGACGAGTCCACTGTAACTCGCACCCCAACTTTTGGACCATCGCCCCTAGGGGCAGTATAGCGGGTGCCGCCGGTGCCGTAGGATCATCTCGAGCAGCCAAAAGGGTTCCTCCGCGGTTCTGCTTCAGAGTGATGAACTGGCCTCCCGCTAGTTCAACTCGCACAGGTAGAGCCTCATCCGCTTCCTCCTTGCTCAAAGTAGGTCTGAAAGAATGCGAAGCACCCGTATCAAGCAAAGCGGCTCTCCTTTCGTCCTCCGACTCCACACGCTCCATGTGCACCTGGATCTCGTTGAGGTCCGGCTTCACCTTCATCGCTGCCAGCTTGGTAAGCTTGCTCAACATCGCATTGGCTTCCTGCAAGAGGGCTTGCACATCCTGGGTTCTCGTAGCTTCCGTAGCTGTAGGCTCCAAGGTAGTAGATGCCGTGGAAGTGGCGCTCCCCAATTGCTGGATAGATTCCAGCAAAGCCTGCTGGGAAGCTAAAGGAATGGGTGGTTGTGCAGCCGCTAAAGCTGCCACCGAAGGGGTTGGTCCCGAAGTCGTAGAGGACGCTGAAGCCCCCCCGCCTTCTCCATGATCTGCCCTTGCTCCCTTTCCACCCTTCCCATTCTTCTGGGCCACAGGACAATCTGTCCTTCGGTGAGTTGTAGCCCCGCACTCCCAACATCTGCTTCGCTTGGCCTCCTTGCTGTCAAAGACGTGGTCAAACTTGCACGAAGATCCCCTCTTGCAGCCGGCGTCCGTCTGGAAAAACTTGCACGGTGTCTTGTTTCCATGCTTTCTCGTAGGCGAACCACCAGGTGACGCTGTATCACCTGTGCCCCCTGAAGTCGTCACGGCCTTGAGCTTTAAGGCTTCGGCTTGCGAGGTAGTAGAGGTAGTCGAAATTGGCCTTGTCCGTGCCGGCGCTGCTTGCTGAAGCTCAGCCAAAGCATGGCTGTGATACCGGATCACGCTGTCCTGCGTCGGTCTGCTTTGTAGTTGGAGCTCGTTTTTGACAAGGGACAATCTGAAGCGAATGTCCGGGTTGGCCTCCAAGGTCTTTGCCACGATCAGCTCGACGCTCCGCAACAAGATTGAAGCATCCGGTACTGCCACACCCATCTCCTCGGCGCGCTGCAAGTAGCGTCGCCATCTCCTGAGGGCTTGGACGGCGTCGTGAATGCCATCTCCCGCAGAAGCCCCTTCCAAATGCTTCAAGATCGAAGCTCGCTCCGAGGCTCCTCCTGGTTGGTATATCACGAACATCCGGTACAGCAAGGTGGGCACGTTGTCCACTCTGTGGGTGATGACATCATCCTTCATTGTCTTTGTCATGGAACCTAGCAACAAAGTCATCGTCCTGCGCTCCAAGCGTGACCATCGCTCCGCCTTCAGCTCTGCAGGGATGTTCACCTCCAGCGTAAGCCTGGCAATCGGAGAAGCGTTCACATACTCCCGGTAGGTCCGCCTCGCAACCGACAGACACGCTGAAAACCACAATGCCGAGCGGTCCGACAGGCCTCCAATGGCCTGCTCCGCTTCGAACAACCAGTCTGCGTACTCCACGGCCGACTCCGGGCCAGCCTCTGGCATCTGTGGGATCTGAACTGATCCCTTCAAATCATTGTCCTTGGTCTCCGATTTCCCAAGGAACGCCTGCTGCAACTGTCTCATCCCTTGAACAAGCAAGTGCAACGGTTCCTGCACTTCATCCTTCACAACCTTCGGGGTCTCCTGCACAGGCTCGGAAGGCTTGGAGGCTCGGGCCTCCTCTCCGTAGCTTCCGTCAATCAACCTCCGAAGCCCCAACAAGTCCTCTCCAGTTGCCTTCGGGTCCGGATTGACCTCGCCCTGTGAAAAGGAGTTCTTGCTGGGATCACCTCCGCTCTCCGGTTCATGAAGCTCCTGCGGACCCTTTGTGTCACTCGATACCTCACCTCCTCCCGAAGCTTCACCAGGTTCTCGGCCAGATGCTCCTGGTAGGACAGGCTGTGGATCTCTATGACGCGGTCCATCTTCACGCTTTAAGTCTCTGACCATATCCAAAGACTCCCGAAGAGCACCACGTAGCTCTTCGTTCTGTGCTCGCAGCTCTCGTAGCTCACCTTCCTTGGACTTCATCGCCTCATTCACTTGGTTCCGGACTTCCTGCATGATCACCTCTTGGGGTATGGAGCTGGTATGGCTCGCTTGTTCCGGTTCTCGCGGTCGTGGTGGCGGGGCGGGAGTCAACAGAGACTGCCTCGTTGTCCACTCATACATCGCCCTCGCCATCGCTGGATTCATCAAGCTTCCAGGCGTTGGCAACCGGTCTGGTGACGGATATGCCTCAGGAGAGGCAGGCGCGCTTCCCGTCATTCTCCTTCTCAAAGCTTGGCCAGCTCTTGCCAACCCAGACCACATTCCTTGCCGTTCCGGTTCTCTCAGATGTTGAGGTAGTCTAGGAGGATCACCCTGAGGTTGGAAGTAAGGAGGTTCTCCGAAGTAAGGCCGCCCTTGAAGGTCACTGAACATCGACTGAAACTCTCTATCTCCACCCGACAACGGTACATCTCCACCTCCTCCTAAAGTCGGAGTCTCCATTGACCTTCGGGAAGATGCGTACGGAGGCGGTGGAGGCAGAGTTTCTTCAAGCTCCGCTCTCTCTCTGCTTTGCTGCGGCAGTGTTGTTGGCTGCTCAGGAGTTGCTTGTCGTGGTGTGTGGATTGCATATGTAGGCGGATGTGCATTCGCGCTTAACCCACCCTGTACTCCGATGCCAGCCCCACTCTCATCCCGACTCGCACTTGCAGCCTCTTGCCTTTCACTGCCCGACATCACAGCGTCGAGACTCGCTTGCACAGTCACCGGAGACCCCTGGCCTTGTACAGGTAGTTGACGCTGCACCCCATTCGGCAGCTGTTCCCTGGGTCTTCCGTGTTCGCCGCCGTTCTGAGCAGCAGCTGGTTCTGTCAAGCTATAGTCTGGCCCCGAAGCTTCGCCCTCTAGAACACGCGTGGGTTGGGCGCTCATAACCTGACGTTGGGTAGCTCCTTGATCTGGGTCCGCTGAAGGGCTTACAGGGCTTTGAAAGGCAGACTCCATGCCCTCAATACAAGCTTCCTGAAGCACCGAATTCAAGCGAAAACCATGGCAAAGCAGGGCTTCCACGATACTGTTTTTTCCGCAAAGCAACTATGATTTCGTCCTATGCCATGCGTAGCTATGATTAAGCTGAGCACGACGTGACTTCATCTATGCCTTGACACATGCAAGCTTCGAGCACATACATCTCGGTCGAAAGGGAATTCTGCAGAACTACAATGGAGACTATAGGTCAGTAGGGACTACTTTTGAAGCCAAAGTATATACGACTTGGGTACATGATGTTTGTTGGCTGAGATATCCGCACCCGATCTCAACAGCATTCATCCCGATCAACAGCAGCAGATCGCAGCACCCTAAAACTTCAGCCCCTAGTCCCAAAAAGGCGGACTTACCTATAGTCTCCACTGTAGTTCTTTTTGGGGTTACCTTATAGGATCAAAATATCATGTATTTGGTCAAACCAAATAAAGGAACTAGAATGGAGACTATAGGTCACCCCTATCGGGCAGCCAAGGACCAGAAGCGGCAGCGCCGACTAACTTCCGAAGTCCCTCACTATCATAGCAAATCCAGTCGGCACAACTCAACTGGAGTCTGGAGGGGGGGGGACGTGTTCATGACAAACATGTAAAGATACTGAGGTACACATTGAATTGTTGTTGTACCCTCAGTATGGTAATGCACATAAGCCTCCTGAAACAAAAACGCAGTCGTCAGACCTGACGCCTAAGTTCAAATGAGTAAATAGCCAGGCATCCACTCTTCGTCCCAAAGCTACATTGAAGCGAGCTGAGTTCTGACCTGGGTTGAGAGTGGCCAGAAGTGATGCAGGGAATTTCTGCAAGGGCTTAGGAATCAAAGATAAAGTGATTCGTGAGGTGCTTCGGCTGTATAAGACGATTCCTCGAATCGGTTTCCAGAGTTCGTAGTGCTGAGAATGCTGCAGGGTCCGAGGTGTTGTCCACATCTATGCAGGTTGACGGTCCATAACATCATCGATTTGAAGCATACCGTTTTCTGAATTATAATACTGGGTGCTGTATGTAAGCACCGTACCCCACTCGTAATAACCATAACTGGGTGTCGAGACTTCTGTGGTTGCCCCACCCTACATCCTATGAGCACTGCGCGAAATCCGTATGATATTGTCCAAAGGGTTTTTGCGAGTGCTGCAGGCAAACGAACATCTGAATCTCTCGGCCACACCTCGAATACAACGCGTCTGAACAGCGGTCATATATCGTTACCGTCCCACCCAAGCCCCATTTTACTTACTTGTAATTCAAACCCCGACAGTAGATATGCAGAACCTTGGTATAGCATTCCGCTCATGAGCTGGTATCCAGGCCGAACCCTGTAGGCCATCTTCAGTCCAAGCCGAAGTCCTGTACAACCCTATATGTCCAGGCCCGACACTTCCTAACCTCAAGACCCTAAAGCTAGCTGCCTGACCTACACCGCCATCCTCTGCTTCTGCTCTGCTCAATACAGACTGCTCTCCGGGGCCCCCTGACCCCATAGCCCGCAAAACTTACATGTTTAAGCTCCCGCTTGATGTGTATGTCCTCTTTAATGACGAGGCTGGTTGTTTGGGCTCCAGGTGCAGCCGGGTCTCTGAGTCTTGTCATAAGCGTCCCATGATGTTGGTGGTTTAGAGTGGCTTATAACAGAAGGGTTTAGGCCGTTGGGGTATCCTAAACCATAAACCTAGTGTTCGAATCTTAGGGGTCTCCTAAACCCGAAACCTAGTGTTCGAATCCTTGAGGTCTCCTAAACCCTAAACCTAATGTTCGAATCACAGTTGAGTCGAGGAGCTGGTGGCTACCTGCCGGGCAAAGACGCGGAAGCTGTGGCGAGGAACTGGCATGGCCTGGGATGCCCGTAGAACAAAAAAAACTGAAACCCAAAATCCGGAACTCAAAGTCCGACGGTTTAGGGGTTAGGGTGGTTTATAGCTTTAAAGAGAGTATGGGCGGCCCGTTGGTGAGCATGTGAGCTTGAAAGATGCCGGCACGACGTGCCTGCACCCGACGGGCCTCGAAGTAGCTCCCCTAGTCTACTTCGGAAATAGCTGAAGTGAAGTATGCTCCAAGTTCCCGAATTAAGCACATCAAGTATGATATTCCCGGCCCCTACTCCGGTTGCTTAGGCAGCGCCTGCATCGCAACTACTATAGCATCCGTGCATTTTGCACCGCAAGCTTTGGGTGGCCGCCTGGGCTTCTGGAGGTTTTTGTTCAACGATCCCTTGGCGGTTCAATCACAGGGGCCCTTAAGGGGGGTAGGGGGAGGTGGACAGGGGGCCTTAAGACCTATAATAAAGACATAACTGCAGTCTCTGTAGGGGGCCACCGTCCACATTGCCGGCATTTGTTGGTGCTCTTCGTTACAAACATAGTGGTTTCCGGGCAGTGTCGAGTGTAAGCTACCGGGTGCTGGGCGTTGAGGTGTGATTTCGAGCCCAAGGGATTCCATGAAGCAGTCTTTTCCTGGTGCACACCCGACAAGGCCACATAAACCCATACAGTAAACCCCTATAAAAACCTATGAGCAAGAGAGATGGAACTCTCCCTCTTTGATGAGTATCACATGTTAACTTGGTTCTTTAGGGTTGAGGTGAAGCCTCTGCTTATCTCGCGGTTGTTCCTTCGAAAGCTAGGCTGCGTCGGGAAAAAGTCTAACCGCGTGTACAAGCTTTTGTGTGCAAGCTTGCAGTGCTTGCAGTTGCAGTCATTATACGTCCGTTTGACTTTGCGGCCAAAATGCTTCCGCGTGTTGCTGTGCATGCTTCCGAGGGTTGCATAACATGACTGCGAGTGTGATGACATTGCATGTGCAAGGCAGTAGGTGAGGTGTAAAATCATACACCCGCCCGCCCTCAGATCCGGTGGCAAAGACTGCGCAGAGTGACGTAGGATACTGTATCATGTTTGGGGGAGTGTGTGCTTCACGTCTTTGAAGCCGCCTGCGGTCACTCCGTCGTGTTTGGACCGGGGCCCCCGCCCCCGCAGGGGGCTGCACCTTCGTGTGCACTCTTGCTTCACTTGACCCCATTGGCCAATGGAGCCCCGTCAGCAGAAGCTGACAACTGCATGTCTGTGTGAGTTGTGTCAGGAACTGTGCTGCGTGCTCGTGTAGCTGCGTGTCGGTGCTGGGTTACGTGTTTGTGCCTGAAGCCTGCGTGTGAACACCTGTCAGCCGAGCCTCCCGTGAGACCCAAAAAGATGTGAGCCATCGTACTCCAACGAACCGCGAGCCCTCAAGCCCGAAATCGACGCGTTACCACAGCCATGTACTGGCTTCCAGGGGTCAAGGGCTTAAGATTTTGGTCCGGGAAGTTTGCTCATGTCAAGCTTCGTTCCCATTCGATGATGCCGGATGGGGAGGTTACATCGGAAGCTTTCACGTGTGGGCACGCCGCTGTGGAGGAGCTCTTTGGGCTCAAGTGCCTGCGGATTTTCGAGGATCTAACCCCGATGAACCTTTCAAACCCTACCTGGACCCTAAAGAATCTACCTGTTTAGGGCCCCTTATAATGATTTCCGCATATAAGACCTTAAAAGGTAGGTCATTCAGGGTCCAGGTAAGCCCTATAACCCCGACAAACCCTAAACCCCATGAGCCCTCAAAGCCCTGCTATAGGGGCCTTAATAATTAGAATAGGGGTTTGGGGGCCTATTACACTATAATTATAATAAGGAACCCCCACAATATTATAGGTAAATATTTAGGCCCCTATATTATAACAAGACCTTGAGGGCGAGTCGCAGCCTGGCTTTTGAGCATGGCAGGGCACGGAAGCTAACGAACCTAAACCTACTCTTTCTACTTGTCGGGTATCATGGGGAACTAAAGATTAACCTTTTTGGTTATATAGGTATATATAGGGACTGTACTACCCGAAAAAAGGTTAAAGGTTACCTACTCTACTACTAGGTACTCTTCTGCAGGGTCCCTAAATTCTATAGACGTGTTTCATGAGACGAACCTAAACCTACTCTTCTGTAGGGTCCCCAAATTCTATAGAAGGGCTTCATGAGAAGAACCTACACAAACGCAGGCGATGGTGGTTTAAGGGAAGTCGTGTGGTTCTCGGACATGCGAAAGAGAGCCTGCGTTGACAACGCTAGAAGTCCCAGCGGCTCAGGGCTAAAAAACGCGGAGTTGGGGCTGCAGGGTCGGAGGTATGAAAGTATAGGGAATAAGTGCTCGAAGTACACAGGTCTGAAGCTGAACAGGTTTAGGTTACGAATGTTCACGCCGGTACAAGTGCACTTAGATGTCTAAGTGCAGAGTACTATGGCCTGCACGTCTTACAAGTTCCATGTATGCCTGATCCTCGGACGGCGTGCTGCACAAAGGTTCGAATCGAAACTCCATCTCCCGTCAAACCGAACAGCCTGCGATTCAAGCAACTTACCTCACCTAGCTGCTATTTACATCCTCAGTCAGTGCATTACACGGTGACATTGCTGCCTCCTGCATTGCTAAGAGGCGGGTTTGTGGGCTTGGGCCCCGAAACCAAAGCTGTTTCGGACTACTTTTGGGCCACCCCAGAGCTCCTGACGACCTGGGTGAGGAGAAGGCGATGCAAGTGACAAACATTGTTTACATGAACTAGGGCCGCAAAGAAATGCATAAGCAACCATTATTATTATATAGGATAGGATATTCCATATGGAGCCCTTTACACTGAAACTCAAGAAGAAGGTAGGGATCTCCGTGTAAAATGCTTGTGCTTATGTCAACTCGGGGTGTCTATTAACAAACAAAGCAAGAACGCACAAGAAGAGGCGAGTGTGTGCGTCCTTGCATGCTGTATGTACGTATGCACGTGCGCATGTACGTACGTGTGTATGTATGTATGTATGTGTGCGTGAGCATGAATGCATGCATGCATGCATGTAGGTACGCTTGTAGGCATGTATGTAACGCATGTGTATGCATGAACGGATGCGTGAGTGTGTGAATGCCTCTATGCATGCATGCATGCATGCATGCATGAAATTGCATGAATGTATTCATGTCTGCATGTAGGAACGCATGTATGTTTGTTTGCTTGTATGCGTGTCTGAATAAATGTATGCATGCATGTAAGTAAGTATGTAAATCTATGTGTACATGCACATGTATATGACATGTAGATGTAGATGTGCATATGTGTATATACATGCATATGCAAATGCATGTGTGCGTGTGTATGCATGCATATATGTATTTATAAATATAAGTATGTGTACGCATGTGTGTGTGTGCATCTTCTACAACTTAACCTGTATCTGTATCTATGTCTGTACCGGTACATATATGTAATTTTAGATACATGTATATGTATATGTACAAATCCATATGTTCGGTATTGGTGCTTATTTAACAGAAAGACTGGGCCCTGGAATGACTGCTGTCAGCAAACATGCGAGCCTCCGTGGTGACGCCAGGCAACTCAGCGAGAAGCAGATGAAGATCTTCATTTAGCGATTGTGAGGTTGGAGCCTAACACACACCCACCCTCAGCCAGAGACCCGAAAGGCTGCCATCCTAAACCGCAAAAACCAGAAACACCACCGACTCGTCCTAAACTCTACATCCGCCTTCATACTTCCTTCCACCGAGTCCTAAACCCTGCATCAGCGCATAATTCCTTCTATGCCCAAGGTGCTGCAGAAGTCAGCGGTGATGTCAAGGGAGCCTCGGAATCAGTTTGCCCCGGTGGTCGGGATACCCCGGTTTTTTTGTCGCGTAGTGTGGTTAGGGGATGAGGGTTTTGGGTTGCGGAGAAGTCTGAAACTCGGCAGAGCGCGCCCGTCCCCAATGAATAAAATGATAGGGCCTTAATGGTTCAAAAAGGGCTTTGGGGGTTGATGCGGACATGGCGTCTGTGCGATCAACGGTTTTGGGGTATATCGTACTAGTCTATTTATACTAAGGAACCCTTGGTAATTTGTTCGGCCTCTATAGTAGTAAAAGAAAGGCCTCCATGAGCAGCAAAACGCATGACCATTACCTAGGCCTGAGCTTGCAGAGACACCCTCCCGGACTATGACGACACAGCAGTAAAGGGAACTCCAGAAAGTTGGAATATGGATTAATGGTAGGATCCCCTATAAGTTACCTTAAAGGGGTTACGATAATGATATTCCAACTTTCTGGCTTCTGCTGTAACACGAACGACAAACATATACTTGTCACAATGCGGCCTCCCCTCCCGCAAAAGCACAAAACACCTTGCAAAGATCCCTCGGAGGGACTGCCAAAGCTGAGGGGTTCAACCTAAACCCATGTGTCTACCCCTAAACCCGATCCTCTTCCGAAGCCAATACCCTGCAGGGTTTTGTAGGGTTTGCTTGCAAACCCACCCCTTACACAATAGTAGGTCGCAGGGGTTAGTAGGGGTTTGCCTGCAAAGCCACGCCTTACAAAACAGTAGGTCGTGACACTCGAGCGTATGCAACTTAGAGGAAAGAAGCATGATCCAGGGCTGTGCAATTTTGTGCATGTGCCCTAAACCTAGACCCTTCTAGAAGCCTGAGGCCACCCTTGTAGTACTCGTCTAGCACCCTGATAATATGAAGCCCGAAACCCTCAACCCCAAAGACAAGGGAAAGGCAAAAACCCTAAAACCCTAAATCCTCTCGCGGACTCCAGGACCCCAAACCCCAAAACCCCGCACCCTAAAACCCTTAAACCCTACAACCCTAAACCCCTCCGATAAGACCCGGGCGATCGTCTGCCCGGGCATCGCCATGGCTGGAGCCCTCAGCGCCAGCACGCGGGGAGAAGAGGAGAAGTTGCGAAGTTTGAAACTGAATATATGGGTGATTGTCGCAATTATGGTCCCGTTTTGGGTACCCTAAATATTAGGTGCCGTATTATATTGAGGGACCCCAAAAGGGACCATAACATTGACAACCACCCATATAATTACATAATGAATTATGCATATTTACTTAATAATATTGTTCAAATAAAGGGGAGGGTTTAGGGGTTTTGGGGCATTAAGGAGTTTAGGGATTACAAGGTTTTAAGTTTGGGGATTGTGAGGTTTGGGGTTCGGGGATGGAGGGTCTATAGTAGAAGCCAAAAATGTTGGAAGATAGCAGGAGGATGAATGCTAGACCCAAGAGAAACCTAGGAATAAAAAGGGTGCCCTTTTTGGTTTAAAGGTGCTTATAAGGGAACCTGAACCCTCAAAAAAGGGAATAAGGGCCTAGTCTGGGTCCTAGAATGCTAGGATCTTTGGTAATTTCCCTTAAGACCATGAGGATAATGATGTTAAACCTTTCTGGCTTCTACTATGGGAGGGTTTAGGGCTTAGGGGTATTAGGGTTTTGGGTTTAGCCCATATTACAAGACTTATAACCCGACTTGTAACTACCCATGAACCTCCAAGTAGGGTTTAGGGGTCGGGGATGGTAAGGTCTGGAGCTTGAACAAGGGTTTTAAACACAACACAATAATAATCATAAGGCGAAGCAAGCAGAAGGCTTCATATGGGAGCTGCCGAAAACTAGGGGGTACCTTATTTTAGTGTCCTTATAATAAGGATCCGAATATTTAGGGCGCTATATTAGGTTCCCTATTTTCAGGAAACTCCCATATAACCCCAGTAAACTCACCCCCCCCCCCCCATGACTCTCTATCTGATAACTCTATCTGAAAGGGGTTTGCGCTGAAACTACCAGGCCCTGTGAGAGTCCTGCACGCTGTAATTACTCGGGGGCCAAACACACTCCTACATCATCGGACCCTCATACACAATGACAATCTCGCCCGACAAAATGGGGCTACCAGCACTTCTTCGGGTCTGAATTTAAACCATGATCCCTGCACTGTAACAAAAGCGATGCCCTGATCCCAAAACCTCAAAGCTCTTGGACCCCCCCTAACAAACCCCAAACCCCCCAACCGCTCTGATGCCCAAACCTCAAAACCCCAAACTCCTAAAGTCAAAGACAGAAAGAAACCTAACCCCCACCATCCCCCAAAACAACACACAGGAACCTGAAGCCCGAAACCTCTCTCCCAGCCCTTAAAGGAGCCCCTAAAGCAACCCTTAAAAGGGTCCCAGGCCCGGGTGGGACAGCCATCGGCAAGCCGCCCATGGGAAGCGGTGCGAAAGCCGGCGGCCTGGGCCCAGACCGAGTTGGGAGTTTCCGAGAATTGGGGGTGCCTTCTTTGGGGGTCCTTACGACAAGGATCCTACTATTTAGGGTACTATCTTAGGGTCCCCTATCTTCGGAAACTCCCAGTTACAGTCGATGGGAAAGGGTTTGGTAAAAGACTTTATGGTTTTCAAGCAGCCTTAAGGGTCCAGGATATATAAGGTTCAGGGGCTTAGTAAAGGGTTTATGGTTCTTAGGGGCTTAGAAAGATCCAACCAATGACTGTCCATATTGTGGTGCGAGCACTCGTGATCAGAGTGCTGCCGTATTGCTTTAAACCAAACGAGAAGGACATCAACGGGTTGTCGGGGATTTCTTGTGGTTCAGGGTTTACCTATAGTCTCCATTGTAGTTCCTTTTTGGGGATACCTTTTAGGATCGTATATAAAATTGGTTAAACCCAAAAAAAGAACTACAATGGAGACTATAGGTAGGATGAATAGAGGTAAGTGGAGCTTTTACTGACAAGGAAGCACGGTACGGACTTCTACTTTCACTACTACAAACAGTCAAAAATGTCAAAAACAAACCTCATACGGACACTTGCAGCTACTGCCGTGGGCCCAAGTTCCCAATCGCCACATAGCATAATGCAGGGTTTCGGTGGAAAGGTGCTTCCTGTTT